AAATATTCCTATTGGTATACAGTGCACAATAATACAACCTGGTTTTGTTTTATTTATTTTGTAAACAGAATGAAATTTTAACATCATTGGGTCCTCCAAAATTCAAAATGTCATGCATAATGATTGAATTTCATGCTTTATCATGTGAAGTGACACTGATGAAACTTTTTAAGTAATGGGCCAAATACACTATTGCAGTAGGGTGCAAAACTGCATTATTCAGAGTTTTGACTGTCTGATTACCAAATTGCAAAAATTGTAGCCATGCCATAAGCTGTAGTTCGAGGCCTTTCTGAAGTCACAAGATGCACTGGATTTGTGCAGTGGAACCTGTCCATTAATACACCTGTGTTAATAACGTGTTCATGTTTTTCTGAAGTCAAAGCATGACTGGTATAAAAACTGGCTTTATGCTTGAGTGGGAGCATTTCACTTTCTTTTCACTGGAGGAATTTTTAGCCTGGCAGCAATAGCATTATAATAACTGCCAGCTGCTCACTTGGCACAAGAGTGCCTAGGACCAAGAGGAAGAGCCTGGTGCATTATATGTGTAATTTACTTTTCTCTAAAACTTGAAGGTTTAGGCCTCGTAAATATTTTGGTCTGGTCTTTGATGGCCTTTGTACACATTGGTGTGGGAATATGCATGTGGAGCATAGCTTGCAGGTTTTAGTTTGGAATACATTGAAGTAATTCCCACCAGGGTAAGAGGAGAAATTATTCTGGGAGATTAATCTGTGAGTGGGTGGTCAAGAAAGAAGGAAAACCTTTAACATTAAGCAGATGGACCTCCCTCATTTTATACTGTATATTGGGGATGCAAGATAATAATCTCCCCAAATGTTGGATAGTATTGACCTGATTTTCACGTCAAGAAAATAAAGTTCAAGACATTACGTGTGAGGTAGAAACTTGGGAATGGAAAGGAGACTTTTTTTTTTTTTATCCTTAGCTGTGTGCTTGCCCACCCCCCAGTGTCAGGGCAATGATACAGCAGAAATTAGATCTGGAAGGGGACACAGGAGCAATTGTTGTACCTTTCTCCATGTGTAAATTCACAGAGCTGCAAGCCAAAGGGCACTTCTTGATTCACAGTGCCCCTTTACTCTTTGGCATTTAAAACTGTCTTCATAAACAACAGTGTACCAAAGAAGAAACCAGGGAAGACTATGGGCCTTTTTCACATCTTTGTTTCTAAGTCATTGACACGTATCTGGAAACAGACTATATAGGGGTATGAAGTAGGTAGGAAAACATGGTGGTCTCTGTTGGTCTGATTTTGTGAGAAAAATTTTGCTCTGACCTGGTAGTCAATTTGACCACAAGTATCTGAGCAACAGACACTGAGGCACCCAAGAGAGTTAATACCAGTGGGTGCTATCTTGCATCCTTAGGATGCAAGTTCCTTTCATCTCTACATTTCATTTCTTATAGTGGACAATCTCCAGTGGAATTAGAGGAAACTGACATTCAGGCCGTTTCACCTGCATCCATGAGGGAAGGGAAAAATTTTCCTTGTCCTGAAGGTGTGCTAGGGTGTGCATGAGAGTATAATTTGGGAATTGAGAGCTCTAAACTCCAAAGGAGTATATGATTTGAAGCAAGTTGTTAGATTTGCTTAACAGTTCTTTATTAAAAAAAAAAAAAGAGAAAGAAAAAAGCAGTAATGCCTTCTTTCTTGGCAGTCTCTCTCTGTGTTAAACAGATTCTTTGTGGGAGCTGACTTATTGAAACTCCCATGCAATAGTCAGCTAATGAGCCTCTGATCTCAGCTGCTAGTGTAATGTAAACAAATGCGGCTTTACTGTAACAAAGTGCTGCTGTAGTGATACTTTTTTCAGGAGTTTTGTGCCAAGCCTGATACATTTCAAATGGATGGGGAAGCAACATTTTGATTGAAAGCAACCGCAGAAACCAACCTGTTAGGCAAATCCCAAGCTTTCTGCTGGGACGTCCCACATCCAGGGGTTGCAGTTCACTCTAGATCCTGTTTGAGATGTGGACAGGAGAGTAAAGCAATGAAAAAGTGGAAGAAGACTAGAAAGATGACACAGTTTAGGAGTCTTCCGTGCTGGCTCTAGGCAGTAGCTGGAAGGAAAATGTCATTTTCTCTTCTTTCTTCCCCTCCTTGTTTTTGTTCCAGTACAGGGGTAAGAGTATATCTGTGTGTGTGCCTTCTTCCTGCCACATATGCACAACACCTGTGGTTAATGAGAGTCTGAGAGGAGGTGGTTCTTTCCCTTTCCTTTATATTTTTCATACTACTTATTCTCCCTCCCCTTCCTTCTGGTTGTACAGGGGAATGAAAGAAGGAATTTAGCCAGATTTATGCTTTTTCTTTCATGTACAGCTGTATGTGTCTTGAAATATTACGATTGGGTCCCTTTCTCCTGCCTTTCCACTAAAGTTCCATCATATTTTGTGGTTCCCAAGCTTCTCTGACAGAAGGATGACAATGCACATGATCTGTTTTTGCTTTAGCTACTTACAGATTGTGAGTAACAGTGGGGCTGACCAGCTGCTGCTTGTTTCATAGAGTTGCTGCCTCAGTTGCTTTGAAGAACAGAAAAAGAAACTGCCTGCTCTACAGGTTGAGGGTGGGAGGAGGACTTCTTCCTGCAGTGTCACCAGAACAGTGGAAGACTGCCTTTTTTCATGCAGGTTCTTTTCCTCATGAGCTTTCAGTGCCCTGTGCAGAATAAGTGTATTTTCAGAAAATGCCATCATCAAATTTATCCCAACTTGTCTCAGCAGAAGCAGCAAAACTGGGAGTGAAATTTTGACGCTCTGAAGTAGTTGGTTCGGTTGAGCTTCTATCGATAGGCAGAATAACATTAAGGAGTCCCCAAAGAGTGTGCTTGTTTGGGACTATGTGTCCCACTTGATTTGAGTGTTCACTAAATGATCACTTGCCAAGCTTTCTCATCAAAACCCAAACTGATGCAAACAATAATGTATAAAATTAGATCCAAATAGTTGTTGAAATTCTTACATTCAGAAATTGAAGAGTGAACTGATTTTGTTTGTTTGTTTAATTATATTTTGTGTCTTCCACATCTGTGGGGATGCACTGTTCTAAAATGCGCCCTACTGAATGAAGTAAAGCTGTAAGTGTTGCACACTGATGCCTCCCAATGACCGATATAAAGCAGCACACTGTGTGTATTTGTAAAACTCTTCACCTTCGCCACTCATCATATCATCATTAGATGATCTTTTAAAGTAACTATTAAACTTACTACGTACTAGCCAGCAAGTGTCTTTGTGTTAAATTCTCATTTAATGTTGTGCAGTGATTGCATATTATCAAGCAAGGGGGGACAGCTGCAGCATTTTAAAAGGCATGTGCATGGAGCCAATAACTCTTGTATTTTCAATACTATAGTAAAAATTCCATAGAAGCTGAAGTAATAGTGTACTCCTAACCTTTAAAAATGATACTAATAAAAAAATTCAGTGGAAGTGTCAATGTGTATAAAATTCTGTCTACTACCTTTTGGTATTCTACAAAACCTTTTGCTGTCTAAAAAGCCGGTTATATTATTTAAGGAACGCATATTTTGAGTATTTTCATACTTTAAAAAATAACATTCTCTGCAAGTTCTTACCTCTTTTTCATGTATTTTTCCTCTCACAACTGTATTTAAATAAAACCACCATAAATCAACTCATTTGTGGACACTGATTAAAAAAATTGTCTATTTTAAGGGACGGCCTAAAAATCCAGGAAGTTGCCATCACCTTCCAGAAACAGTGTTCTTGGTTCAAGGTCAGACAGTTGATCTTTAACCCACCCTGTGTAGCTTAAAGTGATTTTTTTTTTCAGCAGAGGTTGTCTGCTGATGCCAGTCCTTTTTTGTATGTTTATATTGGTAGAACTTAATGAGTTTACATATATTTTGATGAATAATTACTGCCATGTAAACTTGCCACCTACCTACAGTGACTCTTATGAATATTTGATGATAATAAGTAGTAGGAACTTCACTGTGATGCTCACATGCACTTAAAAAACCAGCAGCACAGGAACAGCTTTTGTTCTGCTTTTTTGCTTGCAGTAAACAGTATGACATGTATATACATGTAAATTGTTAGGCATATCTAACATATTTCTGTTCTTAATACTAGGAGTTACATTTAAATCATAACTCTCTTGTTTTAGGAGGGGAAGGATGCAGGACGGGAGATGCAATTTTTAACATCTAGATTTCTATTTTAAGTTGAGGCAGGGTTGACTGGTCGATCTCATGCTTCTAGCTATGGATCGTCAGTTGAGAAAAAGGAAAAAATATGATGAAACATACTCACCATTTTGCAGATGCAGCCATGTTCTAAAAAAGCTAAAATTAGTATCTGTAGATGAACAATTTTGCAGACTTCTGTGCAATGTCTTTGGTCTATCCAGTATCACATTATAGAGCCTACTGGCAGTAGTTTTGTGTCATTGCAAGTTAGGCAATGTCTGTCAACAGCAGACATCACCTTTTATCATCTCTGTATCTGGGTTCTTTTTTTATAGACAGTGTAATAGAGAGTACTCACCTTGTATGTTGTTTCAAGATGTTTTTGTGCGAAGCTGGTATTGAAAACCACATTCCCGATTTAATTGTGTTTAATTGTGATACTCGGTTTTGTTTGCACATTTGAAAATTTATTGCTTTCATTATACAACTTGCTTTATAGATCATGTTCAAGACATAATCTAATGTTTTTTAAGTTGCTGTAGCTTGTTTAATTACATATTTTTCCTTTTCAGACTTGCAGGACCTGCTACACAGCTATATTTTTCCTTACTAAAGTGGTGAGGACAGCAGTAACAGCTCTGGCATTTATAGTTAGAGGGTTTTTGTACTTAAAATAATCTGGCATAGTAGTTACTAGAGTTTTTTTTTTTTCCAGTAGCGTCTGTGTATTGAGAGTGTAAAATCTGTAAGTTTATTAATGCTACTGTAGCATTTTTCTTGAAAAGTGGTGCTTTACAGGACTTACTTTTCTTTCAGGGAATCTGTGTCCTCCTATTGCAGCTCAGGATCTTCAGTTTGTTCTGAAGGCTGGATACCTGGAAAAACGCAGAAAAGGTAAATCTAACTATCTTTGTGAAAACTAGTGCATATTTTATATCTGGGAAGTCTATGTGTCAGTATTTGATGTTACTCACACAAATAACTTTATACAGGAGTGATAGATAAAATCGAGTAGAAGCTGAAATGTTGAAGCGTATTATGCAAAAGCAGCACAGCACATAATTGCTCCTGTAGTATTAAAAGAAAATCCTGGTTTTTTTATTGACTAGAAAAATCATGCTGTGCAAGTCCATTGTCAGCCATAATTCAAAGACTTTCAGATATTTTTGAAGAAAACATTAGGAACGTATGTAAAAGTACCATATGTTGACTTCATGTTTCAGTGAGCATCAAGATTTATTTTCCTTCAAGAGGGCAAATATTGATCTCAGCTTTGGTTCAGTCAATATTTACCTTGATTCAATAAATCTTATATTGTCACTTTAATACCCACTTAATGCTGCAATAACTCTAGGAAATATTTAGGAAGTTGTTCATTATTTCCTTACATTTAATGTTACACATGACTTATCTCTTTATATGATTTCAAATTCCCATTTGTTTTCTTACCACCAGTTTTTATTTCTAATTTCCTTCTCAGTGCCATACATTTCTTTATATCCGGATTTTGTTTCCTTTCCTTAGCACCTTTCATATCTCCTCCTCCCTCTTACCTCACCCTTGAAAAGAAGTAATGTACTTCATGTCATTATTGAACACAAATGTTATAACACAAATTAAAATAATTGCAGACCACGGTTTTCTTGGCTTTGAGTGGCAGAAGCGTTGGTGTGCTATCAGTAAGACGATCTTCTATTATTATGGAAGCGACAAAGGTAATTATAATAATTATGATAAACTATAAAAATGATCTTTTAATGCACAGAAGAATATGAAAGCTTTAGTGGAGTTGGAAACTGTGACTTTAAGGTCATCTTAAGAAAGCAAATGAAACTTTTAAAAGGATAGTTGGTTCTTAAATAGTGCTGTGAATTTTAAAGATATGTAAACATTCTTCTGAAGCTCTAAGTGGTGTGCTCATTTTCTAAAGCAGGGAAACTGAGGAAAAAAGTTACTTTTAAAGCTACTTTATGCGCCAATAACAGTTAGCTATTAGGTTTGATAGTATGCTGGTACTCAATTCATTTACTGGACAGAAAATGTTTTTTTCTGTCCAAATAGGATTTTAATTTTAAAACACCCTCTAGCAATTATACCTTCTGAGTTCTTTAAAGATGGTTCTATCCAGGAAAATGTTAGTCTAAAAACCACGTAGTAGAGTTCCGTGTTTCTTTCTAAATAGCTTATCTTCTGAAAAAGCTAGAAGTGAACTAATGTATTTAACTAAAACCCAGTCATGGAGACTAAAGCTAGCTTCTGTAGATGACTCTTAACTTTTAATGTCCAGTTTAGCAAGAATCTGGCATAAATGTTGGGATATCGCTTTGAATTTTTAGAATTGACAGATAAATAAAACATCCTTTAAGTTGTGTGCCAAGTGTATTTGATGTTTAGGGGTAAAACAAATGATACAGAAATATATCTGAGTAAATTTTAAAAGTCCAATTATGTCTTCCCCCCCCCATTTATTCCTGGGCAAACTTCCCATAGAAGCTTTTTTTCCTTCTACTTATGTTTGTGTGACTCTGAGATTAGTGCAGGTAGTTATTTTGTGTTGTTTTATTCAAAGACTAATTTAATTTGGTCCAGTTTGTTTCATTCCTCAATATGCTGACTCATTTAAACTCATCCTCTCTTTAAAAACAAAAAAAAATAAATTAAGGGTCTAATTGTAAGTCCAGTTTTCATCTTGCTACAGTTTCCCATCATCTTCTCTGTTTCCAGAATTTTTTTAGTATATCTGCTAAATGTTCCCTCTTCTTCTTCACTCTTCCCTTGCAATTTACAGATTGATCAAGCTTGAAAAACATAAACAATCTTCCTTCAAAAATTTTGAGGAGGTGGCATAACACTGATTTGTCAATAATGATTTATTTCTTTCTTTGGAAAATTACCTTGTGCTGTTTGTTTGCATATAGTTATATATTACTTAGTATTTAAAAAAAGGCAAAGTTTTCGGTCAGAATATATTGTTAGTTCTTAAAGATTGTTCTGGGGTTTTAAATCTTTGTCTTTTCGTCTGCTAGTTTTTGAGGAAAAAGAAAGAAAACGCTTGGTATTTTACGTATCTTTTCCTTGTGTCTATGCTAATGATTAGTTATGCTTTCTAGCATATGGTCTTTGGATTAAGGCAGGAAAACTACCCACCTGCCCTTTTCCCATCCTTTTTTTTCCCCCTCTTTTGCAACAACCTGACTATCAAGGCTGTGCTGTAACTTCTAATACCAATGCTGAAAGTTAAGATACATGGAAGCATGTTGCCTAGCACTCAGCAGGTTGGTGTCATGCTAGGAAGTGACTGTGATATACTGTGAGATCTTTTTCCGTTACGGATCTATAGACAGATGCTTTGGTTTGTACATTTACAGCTTTTGTAGGCTGCAGATTGTTTTCGGGAAGATCCTCCTAACTGTAACCTAATGATATGGTAGAGGCACATATTCCATGGAACATCTTTTGGTAATTGTATAGGCATGTCAGGACTCAAACAGAAGCTCCTGGAGGAAGCAAATAAATCAGGTGCATGAATTTCTGCCCTACCTGCATGTGACTGGTGCTGTTAGTGAAGAAAAACTAGCACAGCACGGTGGAATAATTTTGTCTTGCAGATTTGGGATGACCAGCGGTCACTCCAGAACTTGCCATTGAAGAAAGCTTTTTTTCTAGACTGGTCAGAGGTACTTTCTTCAGCCCTCTGATGCCATAGTACTTAAAGGTGCCTGTTCCAGTGCAGAAGGAAGTTGCCATCATTGTGCGGAAACTGGATACCAGGGATTGCCTCAGTTCCATGGCAGACTAGTTTGCTGTTGAAACTGGGCTGTTGTGCTCATGGTTGTGAACATGCTGTTTATCACGCTGCTCAGCTGCAGCTTGTCAGCAGAGATGAGATGTGCGATGAGACAATCCTGAGGAGATCTGGCATTTAGTTACCAGAAGAACCTGAAACTGTTTTCGCTCCCACTGTTACGGCCAGCAGTGGTACGTGTCATGTTGGGGCCCTTCTTTTGCTGTGACCTTTGATGCTGTACCAGATAACATGGGCCACGTAGAAAATGAAGGTGCGTTCCTACCAACTGTAGAACAGCGGTGAAGTGTGCATTTGGGTGGCTTCATGCAAATTGCTGCCACCTCCTGAATCGTTGGGATGGCATCTGTCTAAACAATGCCAGTCTGCCCTAGCCCATGCAGTGCCTGCAGATGTTTTGTATCAACTGGGCCCTGTTTTCTGACAAGTTCTAGGGTTGACTCACATAACAGAAAAATTCCCCCCTTGTCGATGTGAACCTGGTTTGAAGAGAAATGAGGGAGAGGGGGATTCCATACATACTCAGTCCTGCTGCCTGCATCACTTTTCATGGGTAATGGAGTGCTGGTGCCTGTGTGTTGGGGGATGTAATGCACAGAGGCAGCAGGGATTTCTAGGTCCTGCTTGGCTTATTTTGTGTCATATATGTTTTTAACACTGGACACATAGGTGAGTATCTGTAAAGGATATTTTGTGTCTGGTGCAGGGTGCATTTTGGTTTGATTCTTTGTGCTTACATATCAGTGTAAATGTAACAATGCTAAATGTGAGGCTGTAAGATGCCTTTTTATTAGACTGTGTAGGTTTGTTGTTTCCAAAACACTTTTAATTCTTACAACTTTCTCCTTTTTACATTGGGAAAGCAAGAAAAAGTATGGAAGTGTGTAAAGCTCACAAACACATGTAAGGCAAAGTTTCAGAATCATTTATTCAGAGCTGAATGATGAAAAATGAGGCCTAGTCCAGGAGGATATAGCACAAGCTAAAGCCTCTGAAAATACACTAAATGACTGTGTGTTTGTGAATGTGTGCGTGTTAACCTGAGAGGTTACAAGCATCCTTTTAACAGTTGTGATGCCTGCAGGCTAACGAATGTCTTGTTTCCCTGTTTCCTCCTCTATTTTCTTGTACATTTGGTGCAGCATTGGGTAGTGAAACAATGTTATTTATCCCTGCAATACAGAGGGGTCTAAGCGAGTCACCTACATTTTTTTCCCCGAGGAAAAAATATGTGGAGTAAAAGGAGGAACAAGGCTCAAAGATTTTGACCTAATTACATGTCAGAAATCGGTATTGCAGGAAGCATGTGTCTGTCTATTGCCAGCATGTGGCCCACAACATTGCATGTTCAAATGTCACAGCTGGCTTGGATTTCCAGAAGCTTGCCTGGTCCTCCATTTTGTAGTCTTTCCTTACATAAACCTTTTATAATCCTTCTCTTTGCTTTGCTTCCATGCAGTTGCATCCTGAGTTGGGTACCCTGTTTGCATATCGTTTTTCTGTATGATCTCTGGCAGTTCCCGTGTATTCAGGCACCTAGGTGGTATGCCTAACCTTTCAGACCTCAAAGTGCATGTGAAGAAGGAAAGTTAATTTGTTGCTTTATAAATGAATGAATTAATGGCTTCATTACTTCTTCCTCACTAGGCCATGATATTATATGCCCTTCTGTCTCAGCAAACTGGAGAGATCAGCTAAATGTTTAGCAAGACAGTAATTGATAACATCATGGTAATTTTTTTCCCCTGTTAATGGGCACTAAAAATTTATTTTCATTTTTATAACTTGAAAATGGTATCTGCCTGCCTGCCAGTAATACAGTGTTGAAGTGGGGGATATTTAAGAGGCTTTTAGAAAAGTCTGAGTTTATGCTTGGTTTTTTTAATTATTATTTTTAACATGGGCATGAAATTTTTTGATTTCTCTGAATAGTAAGATAGTGATGGCCAGGCCAATGGATGGACTATTTCTATTTGTGCAAAAGAGGGTTTTGTTTTATTTTGTGTTTTGTTTTTTTTAAGAATGTGGTGACTGAACAATACAAAGAGAGAGGGAAGCCTAGTTATAGAGTTGCATTTGCAAATCTGTCCTAGTAACTTACCTAACCAGGCTACTGGAATTTCTGCCACCTGCTAAGGTTGCAAATTTCTCCTTCTAGGAGTGAGAAAAGATATAGAGACCCGATGGAAAGCTATTGAAGTATCATTTTGCTTTTAGCTACAGACCTCCTTCTCTTGGTCCTCTCTCTCTGAACAACCACATGGGAAAGGCAAAAATCTTTGTTTAGTTTAGACTTTACTTTTGACAGAGTCCATAATTGAAATCTGCAGGAATTGTGAATGTTCAATAGGACTTTGTTATAGCGGGATGCTGGCAATCAAAGGCATCTCTTCAATGAGTACTGAATCTTCTGCTATGAGAATGTCAAATTCAGACCTCAAGAGGCCCACTCGCCATTAATAGTGCGTTATTTTAAAAAGTAACTATTGAGTATAAGCAAACTGAATATAAACAAACCAATGCCCTAAATAGTGTGTTTCAATCATTGCCTCTATTTCTTCATTTTTTTAATTTAGAATTCTCAGAGGACTAGGTTAAAGGAAAGAAAAAAGTCAATTGCGTTTCAGATCTGCTATCTAAAAGGGAGGAATTCCTGTGCATGAGTTTGGAAAGGACTGTTCCAAAAGCTGGAAAAGGAATTACCATTTTGGAGATACTGACACTTACTATTTTTAGAAAGCAGACATCCTGCATATGGAAAAGCATGTAAAACTACATTTAGCATGAAGCCATGTAGACCATAAGATGTTACAGGCTCCTAATTTCAAGATGAAGAGAGTTAAATTATAGATTCTAATAGTATCTATAAATACTTTATCACTCTGAAATATTTCTGTTTGCTTTTGTTCCTTATGCCTTTCTCTGTAACTTCTTTCCTTTCTACTATCCAAGTTCCTCTCTGTTCTTCAGAATGGACTAATTCTTTTTACATGTGCTAATAATATGGGCACATTGCCTTAGGCCTCAAATTTACAACCCAATCATTTCAAGACCCTATTGAAGGTTTACTCTTCTTTGTTTTAAAAGTTCCCATGGACTCAGTTACGCAAGGTTACTTCAAAACCCTTTTTCTCTGCTTCCCTTGAGACTCTTTTTTCCCAACATAATATTGGCTCTGTTTCCGTTGTTAACAACATTTCACTATTTTTAGGATGAATGAAGTTTATATGTAAGAAAAATGTTTAAAGTGGCTCTCAAATTTCATTCAGATCTTTATTTCCTCTATTTTAAATATAGCCCTTCATATTTATTTTTCTCAAATATCTATGTATTAGTTAAATATCTGTGTACTAATTCTGACTTTTTTTTTTTATATATTCAGTGCCTGATTCTCCACTCTGTTATACTAGTTTTTTACAATTCTAAATTCCTGGAACAAAATAATGTACAAAGACTCAGATTTATTTTTCTTTTGTGTGCCTGATATGGGGAGAAGGGAACAGGAGGAAGGGATGAGAGCAAAGAACAGCTTATTCTGAAATGAGATTTGACTTAATTGTGGAACAAATCACACTTGATGATGTAAGTGATCCTTTTTGTTTTTACAAGACTGAGAGTATTATACTTCTTGCAATTCTGTTCTATGTTGTTCTGGGACAACTTAAGGGCTTCCTGTTGTTGAATTGCAAAGCCTTATCTTGAGAAAATATGAGGCAGCAAGAATGTTATTGTACTTCAGAGAAGTGTGTTCCATCTGCATGTCTCTCCCTAGTTTCACCTAAATATGCTGTTGTATTCTTGCTAGGCAAAACTCCGGTTCTGATTTGGGGGTTCAAAACGAAAGTGAAATCTCTAATGTAAATGTGCTCCCTGAAGCTACTTTTAAGGCCATAAAAAACTGCCATAAACCCCAACTATATCCTATATCTAATTTTAAGTCTCCAAGTAAAATCTTTAAGTCTTCAAAGTTTTTTAAACATCAAACCCATTTAACTGCCCCTAAAGCAGTCTCCAGAAAATATTTCTAATATAAACAATGTAACTCTGAATGTCGAAGTCCACAGGAGTCACTGTGGCACTAACTTCACATGGCAGCTTTAAACTGAAAGCCCAAGTCTGTTTGCACACCTATTTAGCTGCAAGCCTTTGCCGATGAATGAAGTCGAGGTGATTGTTGAGTCTGATGATCACAAGATGGTCCTGCCTTCAAGCCTGCACCTGACTACTATGCCTGGCCAAACAGCTACCGTGGGTTTGGTACCCATGGTAGCATCATCCACAGTGATAAGGTGATGGGGTTGATCTCCAGTCCTACATGGAAAGGTGTATTCTGCAAGAGCAACTGGGATTTGTAGACCTCCATTGCTTATCACCATCAGAGCATGCAGCTGAGCTATGCCTGACCTGTGTCCTGCCATGCTGTATTTGTGAAGCCATTTCTCAGGGCATTACTAGGTCTATCTCTGGCTTGCTGCGACAGGGAGTGTGAATGCATACCGAGAGTCTTTCTCTCAACTTTAATGGGTTCTGGGTCAGGGCTGTGAAGTGTCTCATTGTCTTAAAATTTCCTTGTGGTCAACGTTTTAAGCATATGCGTAATGCTACACTGGACTTTAATCAGAGGTGCTTTACTGTGCAGACAATTAGAAACAAAAGTAGCAATTCTATGACTAGTCTGTTGCTATAAAGGTCAGTGAAAGAATTTAATAGCAAAGGATTTTTTTTTTTTTTTTTTTTGGTGCATACAGGTAATTTTCGTTAGCACTGGAACAGCATGTTCAGAGAGATTACGACAAAGACAATACAAACAATAAAACAATCAAATGCAATATGGATACCATGCACCGTGTTCCCCTTCCAGTGCAAAGTACAGCGTGTTTGTGTTTTAACTGTAGCGCTCTTTGAAAGAACGAGTACCAGTGCAGAGATCATCTGAGATTAGCTCTGTAAAACTGTATTACCGTAAAAGGGATCATCCATGTCACAGAGAAGCAGTCTCAGAAATAATCCAAGAGACTCAATTTGAATACTTGCCTCATTTTTATCTTGACAAAACGCTTTTACCTTTTGAACCTGGTGTTTGTTTATTCTGTCTGCGTGCTCCTATCTTCCTGGGTTTTGATAAACCTCCAGCATGGGAGAGTGTGAAATTAATGTGTTTCACTTCATCTTCTCCCTGAGGTCACAAGTGAGGGAACAATGAAATTTCTAGGCAGAAATGAATTTCATTAAAAGGGGACCTAGTTAACCTATTGCAAGTTGTTATTTCTAATGTCTGCCTTGGTGTGATTCCATGAATTTTGCCTCTGTGTGCTGTTTGATATAGGGGTGGAGGATTGAGCAAATATAACATATTAATACTGTATCATTAGTACTTAGTTAAGACACAATAAAACTGTGAGGGAAGGGACTAGAAAACAAAATAAATAGAACAATGTCCTGGATTTTCTGGTATAATTGTACTATTTATATATTCTGGTATATTTGTACTATTGGTATTTATTTGCCCTGGGTGAGAGTTCATAAAAGGGTGGAAGGACAAAGAATTTCTGTCTATGTGCATGTAAGATTAGTAGACAGAGTATTTGTATGGTGACTGCTTTTACATCCATTGCTGTTCATGGTGCTGTGTTAGCCAATTTTTGCCCTCTCAGGAGTGTAAAAAATATTAATTTTCTTATTAAATTTCCAGAAAGATGACAAAATTATGTTGAAAGTCATAGTTTTTCCTGTTTTATCTACTGTAGAAGTTTTCTCCTTTTCTTGACAAACATAAGCAATGGATGCTCGATTTGTACCTAAGTTCTGTTCAGCAATACTTAAAGTAGTTTTGCTGTTGTGCCTGATGCTTATCGTTAATTAATGCTTTTCTCTACTGTGGAAAAACCCCATGCTTAATGGCATTTTCTTTCATTTGCAACTCCACTTTGTTCTTTGTTTGCTTGAGCAAAACGTGACTGATGATGCCTATTTTCACTTGAATGCTGCACTGTGATCTACAGAAATTGCAAAACTGAATTACTTTGACTTTTTTGGTTTGTTTTTAATATTCGCCAAAACATGCCAGAGCACATAAAATCAGAGGTAGGGTTTAGTCTGAAGAGCTCAGAAGGAGTGCACAGGTGCTGTTTGCCCAACATGCAAGTATATTTAAACTCAGGCCTGTTCTAAGTGAGACTTTTATAAACCAGAACCTTTGAAAAGTAGAATTGTCTTTAAAACAACCACATGGCTCTACATAATAAACTGTGGTAGGGCTTAGTACTTTTATTAGCTAATTAAACATTTGCTGTGTTGAGCGAAATACTTTTGGAACACACACCTGAATTTATAACAAAATTCATTTTGTATTTCTGCCATGTGGAGATGAGGCACATCTGGGAGTGGGTGGGAGAATGTGAAAAGAAGCTTTTCCAGTGGCTTAAAAAGGAGTTTGAAGTTTATTTTTTTGAATGAAGTGGTTAGTTTAGGAGGGAGCTCAGCAAGTTCTGAACTAGACAGGTTTTCCCATTGGTTTACTGAACCTGAAAGAGACACTGATTTATAGGGAACGTGTCTTGCAAGTTCCAGTTCTTGGCTTTCCCTAGATACAAGTGTCATAACATGCACTTCTTACTAAATAAGACCACCATCTGCAAACATCCCTCTGTGGGATTCCTTAGGCATCCTACAGAAAAATGTAATTTTGTGTACATCTTCCTTTAAAATGAAGCTGTATTTCCAGAAGCATCACTTAATATTTGCTAAAAACCTCCCTGTTCTTTGTAAAATTTATGAAATAGAAAACAAAATCTGAATAAATGATAACCTGCTGAGACAGTTATGTTCACTGTTGTAAATGAAGCTCTAACTTTGTTTTTTATCTCCAACAGACAAACAACAGAAAGGTGAATTTGCCTTAGAGGGCTACACCATCAGAATGAATAATAGCCTTCGAAAGGATGCAAAGAAAGATTGCTGTTTTGAAATCTCTGCTCCTGATAGGCGCATTTATCAGGTTGGACTTTTTTATGTTGACTTGAAATTAAATTGATAAAGCCGTTACAATTCCAGTTACTGAATTAACATTTCAGTAAAACAACTTTCACCGACATCTTAACGAAAAAAGGAAACCCTCACTTGCTTATACTGTATATTCACTTATTAGGAAAAATATCTGATTTAAAATATGTATGTATGTGTTCAAATATTATCTTTTTGGACAAGAGCAAGGAAATCTATCATCTTTATCTATTGGTCATTTCAATGTTAGCATTTTAATATCTGTTATATAGTATGTCTGTGTGATATCTTTAATGAATTAAATAGTAAAAAAAAGTTAAAATATATATCAGTGTTAAATACATATTGTATTGGTCATGGCTTTGCAAGGAAAATTTACATAAAGGCACATATCAGCTGTGCAATTCAGAGATCTATCAGCTAGACATCAATATGGAATGTAAGTTTAATAAGTTTTAAATATCTGAGATTGCAGTTGAAAGCCAGTTAATTAAGCTGTCAGGTAGTGTGTTGGAGTCTGACAAGAACATTTTTAAGAAAACTGTACCCAGCAGTCTAAAGAAATTCATGGGTGTCTTCTAATTGTCAAGGGCAAATTTTGTTCATCAGTTCTGGCTTTGACATTGATGAAGAGAAGCAGCTTTTTTCTGCACAGCTGCCAGCTGCTGATCAGAGTTTCAAATCCATCATCCTCTCCTTCAATTACGTAAATTTGTCAAAATTAGCTCTACATTATAAGAAGCATCCTTGCAAGAAAAGTACCAGAAGACATGAAAAGAATTACTAATGGTTTCTTGAAGAAGTGATGAGAATGCTACAGTCCCTCTTTTTTTATTGCTAATGAAATTGTAGTTGTGTTTTTGTCATTACTGCTAGTAGTTATTAATAAAAGTTTAATAGTTTACAGCTGCCACTCCCAAAGAAGCAGAGGAATGGGTACAGCAAGTCAAATTTGTAATTCAAGGTAAGCCAGCCGGTAGAGCAGTAGCCTTTATTGCCAGTACTGCTTAGTGATGGTAGTTCTGTCCATTAACATCTGTCACGTTTGTATATGTAGTATTCCCACTTGTCCAAGTTTTGAATAGCAAGTCCTAGTTTTCAATCATGTTGTAGCTTTTATATGACTTTTCTACTTTTGCAAGATTTTGGCTCTTCTCCAAGATTACTATTTAGCTTGAAAACTCTCCCTTATTAACATTGTAAGAAAATAAGCAGAATATACTGTAAGCACCAGGTCATAGAAGAATTGTGTTTTCATTTTGCATGAATTTCTGCTTAGGTATTCTTTTCTAGTAAATGTTAACTTTTTAAACTGCTGTTACATAGATACAGAATCTAATACTATTCCTGAGGAGGAGGAAGAGGAATATGATGATGTTGGGCAAGTGAGCAGCGAACCAATAGATGATAGCATTTATGAAGAAGTTAAAGGTATTGTTGAAATTTTTTACTTTGTGATTTGTGATCATTTTGTTTTCTCTACTTTAAGTTTGGTAACTCTGAGTGGCTAAAAGTAAGCGAGTAAAGTAACCTAATGAATAAGATACTTTCAGATTTCAGGTTTTGCTATGATGTTGAAAAAAAAAAAGTGTCTTCAACCAGGTTTGAATGAGAACTGTTCAGTTTTCTTCAGCAGGGGCATCAAAATAGTGCAAAAAGTCTAAAAGTGGTCACGGGGACTTTTGGCTCATTAACATTCTGTGGTACGCAATTTTTTTAATTAAAAAATTGACTTGCCGTACAGCTTTTTCCAACAACTTGCTTGTTTTTTTTCTTTATTCATTTTGGCATTTGTATTAAGCAAAAGTTTGCTATCACTCCATGTGTTATCAGCTGCTGCCTAATACAGGATATTATAATCCTGCAAGAAAGCAGAGTAATGTGTTGGTTTGAAAGGGCTCTGGAGATGAGCTGTAAAAAAAGCAACATGAATATTGACATTGTTTTGTTTCATATCTTGCAGCATGACTGTGATTATACAGAAACTTTTTACTATGAACTTTCTGATGTGGTCAAATGATTATGCCTCTAGATGTCCAATTGTATCTATCAGATGGCAAAACAAAAGAAAAAGAGCTTGGCAAAAGGTCTTGGAATTGATTATAGACATTCAAGTATTAGGAGAAAGGTGGTCGTTCTTGATTATATTTTAAAAAGCTATGAAAAACTAAATTTTTCAGTTACCATTAGTTAACAAATGATATTTTAAGGTGATATGACAATTAATAATCACTTTGTATGAGATAATGTTCTCTACCCCTTGCTCTTGGGGCAGTGTAATTATCAGCAATAACTTGAGAGGAAAAATTAGTTGTGTCATGTGATGCTGACTAACCTTCTGTGTCTGTTAAGTTGAATATTCTGATCATTGGAGAAAAGAATGTTTTATAGTATATCTTGGCTGAAATTTTAGTGAACCAGGGGAGCAGAGAACATGAGTGACTAGTGAAAATTGTTATAATAGAATTATAAAATTGTAGCAGCGCTCAATTCTGAGATGATTTTTTTGTTCCATTTCTTTGGATTGTACCTAGACTACTTCAGCACAGAATGCATGTTCTGCTGAAATGGGGTGCAGTGTGTCACACATGCTGAAAAACTCTTTTGCAGTGAACATAAAAACTACGTTACAGGGCTGAATCTTATGGCTAGAGGATACAGCCAAACCTTATTGCAGTGCTTTTTGGATGCTCAGGCCCTTAGAGAGGGTGATCTTGTATGCTTTCTTATGCTTGTGTTAAAGAAGCTCTAGATGTATTCTGTGATAAATTACTCTTTTTCTGAGCTTCACTTATCTTACCTGTTCATTTCAATCTCAAACAGTAAGTAGATCTGGAGCAGTAACACATACAATATTTGTAGAGGGCCAATAGTTAATATATGCTTTGAGTTCTTTGCTTTGAGCTTGCTCTTCAGAGAATTGCTGCTTTGATATGATTCTGCAAGAATTTAGAGTATTTTCATTTGCACACCGTTTTTATGTCAGTTTTCCAGGAACTGTTGTCTCCTAATGTGGATAATAAATCTGAAATGCAACAGAACAGCTGTCACAAAGAAAGGATAGCTCTTCTGTTATTCAAGAAATCTAGTTTCAGTTTTTAGTTAAACGTATTTCCCCATGATTTTGGAGTGGTGCTTCATTTTCATGTTATCAAGTAGGGATTATATTTATTTATCTCATGCGTTCTCCATCTTGTCTGGTTGAATTGTAAACTTTTCAGGAAGGACCATCTTGCCTTGTACAGTGGAACTCTTAATTTTGGCTGTGATATGTTGGCATAACTGAGTAAAAATAAAGCATAAGTTTGCAATAGATTTTAGGGGATTAAAGCATCTTTTTTTCTTTCATAAATGTGCTTTACTAGCTTTAAAGTCATTTGCTTAAGTGGAATTAAAAACTTATGGCTCTGATGCATTAAAGCAGTCCTTCTCTTCTTAATCCATAGCATATTGAAGAATATTAGATGAAATGCTAGTTGACAAACCTCACAGGAGAGTAGGCCTTATTTGTCTTGTATAGCTGTTCCTCTAAACTTGATGGTAAAAGAGCATACTTCAGTTTGGTGTCATCTGCCTTAATTAGTCCTAATTGTCTGTATTTAATTCCAGTTGGCTGTCCTTTCTATTTCCCCAGGTAAGTGAATTCCTTTCGTGGTCAAAGGCTGGAGCAGCATTATCCCTGCTGTTACCTGACTTATTACCGAACAAATAAGGAATTCTGAATGCCTGTTAAGAGAACAGAAAAAAAGAATTATTTGCACAGCCGCAAAGCTATGCTAAGCTGTGGAATGCAGAAGGCAAATGTGCTAGATCCCTGTGAAGAGGGAGAAGAAATTAATCTTCACTTTGTTTTTATCCTCAAAGCATCTTCATGTTAGAGGCTTCTGATCCTCTGTTTCTGCAGATCCACTAGCTTTATAAATATTGAATTTCAGGTACATAGATCATTGTACCTTGTTATTACTTATTTGGCTATAATTTGCAATTTCTCAAGTAAGTAAAATTTTGCATGTCTGTGGTTCTCCAGTGTCTCTTATATCAGCATTTCAGAAGCAAATTAAGCCAGTTCATGATGCAGTCCATTTGGTAACACTGAGTTTGGTTGTTGAATAAAGAGTGTCTGGATTAAAAAGAAGATGTGGAAATTTTTGCACAGTTTTGGAAACTGGGAATTTTCTAGAACTGTTGCAGTAATCAGGCCTGACTGATGCTGTGTTCTCCGGCTATCTAATTGCTTAGCAATTTTTTTCCCTGCTTGTGGCAGGAGACAGTGTAGATGAATTTTCCAGGCAGGAACTGAGTAGCTTCAAACCAGTATCCGGAAAAGTATTAGCCTATTAAAAGCGTAGATTTCAGTGGCATTCAATTTGTACTGTCTGCTGGCAGGAGGAGCACGTTGATAGTTGGAGGGGGTACAAAGAGGTAGGAAAGTTAGTCTTTCGATACGTTAAGTCACTTTCGTCTTTAATAGCACGTACAAATTCATGTTTACCATAGAAGCATCATTTTCCTGGTTCTGTCAGTACTAGTCTTTTGCTGTGGTTATTCAGGTAGAGTAAAAAAACATCAGAACTGCCAAAGATTTCCCAACTTGTAAAACCTTCCTTGCAAAATTCTTCAGGAAAAGAAAGATCTTTACTGTCTTCAACAAACTAAGCTTTTGTCTTTTTGTTTTTTAATAAAAACACGGAGGAAAACTTGGTTAAGCAAAATTAAAAATATGGTCAGTAAAGGCCCATTTTTGCTTTATTATTTATTAGTTTTCTACCTTGGTACACTCTGTATATTGCAATTCACAGCTGGATATTATAAGCTGTAACATAAAATAACTTCTAAAACTGTAGTATTAAATAACTCTGCTTGTGTGTGTAGAGCTACGTAAATGCATAGTGGTGTTTTAAACGATGGAGTTGTCTTTGTCACAGGAGAGAACACTTGCTGCCTTTAAAGATGTTGTCATCTGTTACAGCCCTTAAAGACCAAGTTTTTTTTATTAACTTGGGGTTTCAGTGACATAATTTTTAAGAGTCTTCAGTATTGTTTTCTGTGGTTTCACATCTGTATGGAGCACATACCCAAAACTGCAATGTTAACTACTGCCTGCCACCTTGATCCTTTGTACAACCTCAACTCAGTTTGTGTACTGTCTACAACACTCTTGCATAATAGGAGAAAAGAAGTGTTAATCTAAGCTTATCTTAATTTTTAGTCCTTTGTTGTCTTTTTACTTCTGTTCTCTTTCTGCTCACAAACTTGCATTATAGCAGTAGTTTCCATCGCATACAGTATAGTTTCCGTTAAAATGATTCCAGAGATAAGGTTTGATTTTTACTTTGGTGGTGCTTAAGTTGGTGCATGGAGATAAAAAGCTGCCCTTACAAAATAAGTAAGGTTGGAAATCCTGAAGCAATGTGATGTGACACAAGGCTGGCATTGTTGTCTCTGTGCCATCTCTTCTCAGCCTGTCCATAACACAGAGAACTTTTCGATAAGAGAGAGGTAAGGATGGTGAAATTCAGTGCGGTGGTGATCTCTAGTCAGGGTAACTGCTGTGGAGAACTAACCCAACCAATACAACTTGCATCAGTTCTTAGTTTGCTGTAAATTAAATTTGAGGATTGATTAAAAAATTCGGCCAGGGATCATGGGAATGGAAAGCTTGCTTTTGTCTTTTGATTCTTGATATCAGTCCTCTGCCAAACAGTTCAGTCAAGGCCAGCTGTCTGGCCAATAATTCTGTTTTGCAGTATAGCTGGAAGCTTAGCTAGGGAAACTCTGTAACTAAGGCAAAGCTCAGGAAAAGGTAAGAAATGTCTTAAGTTTTATGCAGTAGAAAGTGTGCTACACAAAGAAACAGCTTTTAATTTGTTTACTTATTTCAAACAAAGTCTTTTAAATAGTTTTAAAATTATATTGATGTTGTTTCAAAAGTTATTTCTGACATTGAGTATGAAGCTAGGGAATGGTCATCCTGTCTCTATCTTACGGTTGTCTCTTTGAGCAGCTTTGTTGCTTTAATTTTTTTCTGACGGTCAACCTCTGCAGTTAAGCAGCATAACTTACTACCATCCTCATCCTCTCTTGTTGCTGGACTGCTTGAGTTTTGAAGAAGCCAATAGTTTTTATGAAGTTGTACCCTTTTCCTGAGCATGGAGGGGGAAAAAAAGAACATGATTTCTGATTTACCTTTTCTTGGGAAGAAGGAAGTAATGATTATGTCGTGGAGTTTTTGTGTAAGTTTCATCTGTCACTCATGAACACAGATTCATAGCACATATTTTTGTTCTCAAAAGGTAGTGTCAGATGTATTGACTTTTTGGCAGTAGAAGTGAAGATTCCACAGCACTGTGTTGATGAAAATGCCTGTTCAGGAGACTTTTGCTTATTTTAGAGTTTTCAATATACCATAGTCAAGGTCCGTGGGCCCAACA